ATAACAAAGGATATTTGGAGTTTGGTTATCACTTTTTTGTTATATACATATAAAAAAAAAATTGCTCTTGACCTTTTCATTCATTCCTCTGTTATTTTGCTCGTGTTTTGCGTTTGCCGCATGGCTAATTCACCGATAATTATTTTTTAGAATTTATGCCGCTTCTTAATTTTTATCCATTCTCTGTTTCTGGAGCGCATGCCTGCACCTAAGAAGGAAAGTGGTTAAATTTGGCTCTCTCTCTTGAAATATAATTCAGTTACATCGACCTCTTAATGAATCTGCCTAATTTGTTTATCTCTGAGTTTCATTGAAAGAAATGCAGTCGCAGTAATTGGGGACTTTTGATCTTGCAAACTTGCAAATGCTTATATCTCTAATTCAATTTGCCCATGGTTTGAAAGCCACTTTGTCATTTGAGAGAACCAATTCGCGCGAAAATAAAAGCTTGAAGGAAAGTTAACAACAATTCCCCGAAGTGGAGATGGCTAGTGGTGGGTACTAACCGAGCCTCGAGGTGGCGAGGTAAACATCCACTGCTAGCTACCGACACTTAGGTAAATAGTTGTTTAAACAGCTATTTATATACTAAAAGAGTGAGACAATGTAGTTTAAAATGATGATTCCAAATCACTTCCTCCTGCCACGACTAAATTATTTTCGGAGGTGAATGGTAAGGGATATTCGGAGTTTGAGTAGCCAATCAGAGCGTGCCTTCAACCCTATCCACCGTTTTAGTATTTGCTAATAATGTTTATTCAGTTCATCATTCTTTCTTTCTCAATCACTTTAACGGTAATTACGAGCGTACAAGAATTTGACAACTTCTGCAAAGATGTCTTACCGTGGTAGCTTGCCGCAAACCCAGAACTTGAAACTGTGCTGTCACTATTAAAGGTAACATAAAGCTGATTGGATGAGCTTGTGATGATTGCAGGCGAGGAGGTTCCATGATATTTGCCCATAAAAGACGACATCATTGATCCGGCATCGTACACGGAGACATAATCGTGATTTTCCTCAGTATCAAATTTGAAAAATATTAGTTCCACTTTGTTACTAGAAAATATACTCCAACTGCAATTCACGTTATCAGCGTAAGTACCATCTCCGTTTGAATATATCATTCCACTTGAACTTGATCGAACTGTCCACAGGTTGGCACATGAACCTGAAACAGTTGCAAATGGCTGGCCAGATACTGAAAAAGGCGATAAAATAAGGTGAAATAATGAAGAACAGATAAATAAATACCACGTTACCAAGTTATGCAGCAAGGCCGAGCTCAAGATGAAAGCACAAACTATGGCCCTAAATTTCGTACGTTCCAAACAGTTTTTACAAATCTTAGAAGGACGATTCTCCAAGAAATACCTTTAATCGAAACAATACTTACTATGGTAGTTTGCTAAGAACCCTGATTTTGTAACGGAACCATCAGATGTAAAAGTAACGAAAAGCTCGTGAGAAGAGCTTGTAATGCTAGCAGGCTGTGAATCTCCATCATATTCGCCGATCAGAGTAGAAGAAGAAGGGCCATCGTACACTTTAACATAGTCATAGCCAGACTCAGTTTGGAATCTTATGAATGTAATTTCCAGTTTTGCATTAGAAGATATACTCCAGCTGCAGTTCATGTCGTCGCTGTATTCTTTATGCATGTTTGAGAATATTACACCGCTTGCGTATGATTCGACATTCAACAGGTTTGCACATGAACTAACGGCCGTCACAAAGGATTGGCCTTGCACTGATAAAAAATCACAATGAAAATATTTTAAAGTTAGTAGTTAAATAGACAAAAAACTTATGAATAAATCGCTTGAAATCAAAGCACTCTTACTTGCTAAAGTATGAATGAAGCGAGTTGATACTTACTATGGTAGTTTGCTAGGAACCCCGATTTTTTAACGGAACCATCAGATGTAAAAGTAAAAAAAAGCTCGTAAGAAGAGCTTGTAATGCTTGCTGGCAGTGAGTCTCCATCATATTCACCGATCAGAGTAGAAGAAGAAGATGGGCCATCGTACACCTTAACATAATCATAACCAGACTCAGTTTGGAATCTTATGAATGTAAGTTCCAGGTTTGCATTTGAAGATATACACCAGCTGCAATTCATGTCGTCCAAGTAAGTTCCATCGTAATTTGAGTATGTTAGCCCCGTTGTGCTTGTTTCTATGGTCAAAAGGCTTGCACAAGAACCTGTGATTGTCACGGACGACTGTCCAGATACTAGGAAAAACACCATGAGTTCATTGAGTAATTCGACCGGTCAGCCAATCGATTGGTCAGTCAAATAAAACCTTAATCATACAAACGATAAATCAAACAGATTAATCACACTTTCAAGCCATACAGCAATTAATCACTCACAAAATCGATCAGTCTATCAAGCAATGCATTGTAATTCGACCAGTCAATTAATTTGTATGGGAATTAACACGATTTCAAGAGCACTTAGGGATAAATCGCACTAGGGACTCCCTTTACAGCTTACTACACATTCAAAATCATCAATTTACGTGCTCTTGTTGCATGAGCCATACAATCAACCCTCTCTACCAAAACCATTTAACCCGTATGGGCATTTCTAAACATCACGCTCTTCCATGCTATCGTCGCGCGAGACGAACAGAAAAACTCTCTGCGACACCATCAATAGTCAGTCAATACTCGAACACATTTTTGCGCCATTGTCGTTCAAGCCAAAAAAATCACGCTTTTTTGTGCTAGTGTCTCCCGATGAAACTCCCTCTGCGACTTAATCAACCCCCAAAATGTTCCGACCTTTCCATGTCGTTTAGAAAATCACGCTCTTTTTCCCAACTGTCGTTCAAGCTTATCGAGAAACCCTTCTCTGCAACGTAATCGACATCCAAAGTAATAAACTTTCGCTCTCATGTTGATCGAGGCTCACTTTTTTCTTAAACTATAAATCGAACTTATTGCTTTGAAATTCGAGCTCCTCGAACGTCACTGTCCTCTTGTTCCACAGTGAAAGGCCTTCCTTGTGATTATAACGCTAACTCATAGACTATAGAGATGCGTGTCGCAAACTTTCTATCACGAATCATCGAGGTTTGCACTCTTTCTGAGTCAGGTATCAGCAGTCATTGCACGAAGGCTATCACGCTCGAAATCATCCCGGTCTTTCTTACAAACTGCTGCATTAACTCCTCGACAAATTTGTTCAATGCCTCAGTTTCGTCCGTTTCAATACTTTTGTTATAGCCGTATTTGAAGGCCCAAGACTTCCAGGCTTTTAGCCAGTAATGTTTGCTTTGATGGGTGCTTTTGTTCTTAGCACTCTTTACTTTCTCCTTTCCTATCCGCCGTTTGCTTTGTTGAGCTCTCGCGACCTTACGGTCGACCAATCTAATAACAACTTTCTGCACTTAATTTAACTTTATGCACTCTAAAGGATGATAGATTGACGAGGTCTCAGTCAATGAGCATGACGCTGAAATTATTTTAAGCAATTTACCAATCATTGAATTAAGTGTTCCTACCTGAACACGTGTTTTTGCCATCTCCTTCATATCCTGGTTTGCACTTACAATCATACGAGCCAATCGCATTCACACATTTAGCAACCTCGTGGCAGACGTAGGACCCCTTTTGACACTCATCCACATCTATGGGTATATGCAATATATTCGCATTAGTCATAAAGAGAAAGAAGAACATTTCACAATTAAATGTTCCTTAAAAAGTCAGGATTTGAATGAATCATTGCGTAACCTTGAATCTGTACATTCTTTAAAAAGGGTTGTCAATAATTTCTCTTGGCGTATTGTTTTAAATTTGTGTCCGATAATTTAACACAATAGATCAAATTTTGCATCAAAGCCCTTGGCAGTCGATTAATATCATCTGGTGCATCAGGATTTAGATTGATAATAGTACACTGCTTGACGAAACGAAACAATAACGAAGTTAAGGTACATCAATGTTATATAACTCATAGAGGGTTTATTATGGTCTGGCGGTTTGGCGATTTAAGCCAAGTTT